CAGTCCGACGACACGTCGTGTAAGTTTTCCGGCTCGGGATCTGCTTCCGGCTCCGGCAAGTGCCATTGCTCCAAGAGAAGGTACGTGTAATTCATTATCCGCGCATTTTAGTTTACACTTCCTCTCTCCAGCTAAAATACGCCCCTCGCACGGTTACTGAGACGATAGGATTTGGATGGTTTTTCCATTTCTCTCAACGAACCACGAGAAAATTGGTTGGACTATCCGAGGAAGCGAGTTGACTCGGACGACTCAACTCGGTTTTATTTAGTGGACCCGGCCTGTATCTGGGTCAACGGTTTAGGTTGCTGGGCCTTTAATGGTCGTAGCACGCGTTGACGCTGATACGACAAGATGAGCCTGGCGTGTTGTTTTTCTCCGCGCGTGGGATTATTTAATTTTGACCGACGACTAAAGCCCCAAAAATACTTTTTATATCCGAAATTTTAATAAATAAATAAATTAATTAATTGTTGTAATATTTGGTAATTCAGGAAAAATCGGGTGAAGAAAACGATTCGTGTGCCGGCGATAAGTTCAAAAATCGCGGATATTCCAGCGGACGAGTACTCCTGGAGAAAGTACGGTCAGAAGCCGATCAAGGGCTCGCCTTACCCAAGGTACTTAATTTAAATCCCAGCCGTTGATTTGTAATCAAATGAAAAATCGTGAGGTGATATATGATCGGACGGTAAGAATTGAATCTGACGTTTGCTTAATTGTTTTTGTTGAACAGGGGATATTACAAGTGCAGTACGGTAAGAGGATGCCCGGCGAGGAAACACGTGGAGCGCGCTCCGGATGATCCGGCGATGCTGATCGTAACGTACGAAGGGGAGCACCGGCATGCGCGGGAGAACGTGGGGTTGGTGTTTGAGTCAACGTGAGTGAAAGTGGGTAGAAAGAACAGAAAAGTGGGTAGAAAGAGGGATTTGTTACAGCAGTTTGAAGTAGTTGAAAAGAAGGTGGAACTGGAATGGATGTAAATTTGTTTTTATTTTTAAATCTTGTAGTTTAATTAAGTGGATAATGGGAAACAAATTGAGGGAAGAATCTCAATCTGTCGCAGCTGTGTTTAATTTAACTAATTTTACTTCTTTCCAAATTATTTAATTAATTTTATTGTATTTCATTTGGTGGGAAACTGGAAATATTATTTATTTTATTGGTTAATTACACTAATATCTTTCGAAGCTTGTCGAGTTTTTCCAAGTCTTATTTTACATTTAAACATTATGCTAAAAAAATTTCAAAGTTTAATTTCCTTTAATGCAACTTTTTAGTAAAATATTTGCTCATAAATTTACTAATTTATTCTTATTAATTGCTTGAAACTAATTAAATAACTTTATAATTATATATAAAGATTATAAAACATTAAACACTTAAAAAATAACAATACGGAAGCGATCCAAACATCAACCCAAGGGTTTTGATATTGTAGTTTTAATTTTACTGTTGATTCATCGGGGCCGTCTCGATGAAGCTCTTGAGTTTGTGGTCCTCATTTTTCATTCGAGCTGTCGTATTTTAATTCATGATTTGTTTATGGGTTATGAAAGTCAAAAAAGTTGATACGTAATTAGAGGGAATCATCATGACTTAATTGAAATGGGGGACAGTTGGTGTCACAAGTCAAAAGCTCCCGTACCTTCCAAAGAAATTTTATTATTGTGGGAGGTGGTCATGAAGGCACTAAACTTTCGGATTATGTTGAAGTTTATGACGTGTTATTCAAGATTCATTTATTCCTTGATGTTCACCGTTTGAAATCATAGTTTGCTTTTTCCTTGATTAAGTTAGTACACATTGACGATTACATTATCACGTAGTGTTAATGGATCGGTTTTTTCGACTCTAACGACTTTTCTGGTCGGTTTGGTTCGAGCGATTTTATCTTAGTTGTTTAGAGTTGAACGCAAAATTTTACCATTTAACTATTTGAGTCGTAAACTCATTAAAATTAGAACGTAACTTGGCTGCTGAAAAATCAGCAGCAGTTCCTGCTCCTCACCAATCACAGATGGAGCAGGAATTGTTGCTAATTTTTCAGCAGCCAAGTTCTTTCCTTAAAATTATGCTTGGACGCAGTGACTTGCCCTTGCCCACCACAAAGAATTAAAGAAAGAAGTTTTGGATGAAGAATTGGAGTAAAGCAAAGAGAGTGCTAAAGTTCATGATCACATATATATTCATTTTAACCGTAGTTTTCGAACAGACCAAATTGGCAACCGAATCGTCAAAGGTGGTTTGGTTTGGTTTGGTTTCATAAACAGATTAATTTTGCCATGTGAAATATCAACCTAAACCATCTAATTGTTGCGATTGATTGATTTTTTTCACGTTTTATTCAATATTTTGTCCACCCTAGGAGGTTTGAAGAGGCCATTTGAGAAGAATAGTGTCTATTTTTATTGACGATGGGTTAAATAGAAGTTGAAGCTTGTTACTGAAGCTGGGCTATATTCATGCTGGAAAAAAGATCTGCATCGCAGACTACCAAATGGATGAAGATTAAGAAACATCTTGGGCATCATTTGGACTTCATCTAAATTAACATGAAAGGTGTCTTCGCAAGATGATGCGTAATGAAAGTTTGAAACGAAGGTTAAGGGGTGCGACCGTAACTTTGAAAATTGCAAGGGGTAGATTGCCTCCGGTGAATAAGGCATTCATTTTCGATCTACTACGCCTTAGGTTCAAACAATCTCCCTTCTTTCAAGTAGATTAGAATAGTAATACCACAAGTAATTAAAAAAATAAAAATGATTGAGAAAATGTTTTTGAGGATGAGCTGATTCTTGATTCATGCCAATGGTGGAGCTTTTGTTGCTTATGTACTGAAATGAATGGTTTCTCCTATATATTTTCTTATAAAATAATTAAATGTGGATCTTGAAACACAAAATCAAGTGGTTGAAGAAGATGTCAAATGAGCCTAGCCTTGTAGCGTGGGCTTGTAATTAAGCAAAGTATTAAAGTAATTAGTTGTATACAAAATTAAATCAAAATAGTGAGATATTCATTATCATCTCATACTAAACCCGAGCCCTCAAGTTAGTACTAGTATGGCACACCTATCTCTGACAGGTGCATAGCAAACCACAATTGTTGCTCAAATTAACAAAAAAAAAAAGTTTCTCAAACAGTGTGTGAGCTTTGCTAAATACAGTTAAGAACGAGTACATGTATGATATATTCCTTTTTTTTTATTTTTATTATTATTTAAGAAAGAACCTCGAAGGTGTAGAAGTAAACGCTCGTAACAGTTTGAATTATACAACCTTTGTTGAATCAATTGCAACCATGCATTTCACCTTCAATCACAACTATGTATCAATCAATCGCAACAGGAAAGTCAAAAATATTAGGTTGAGGACTTGATAGGTCAAGCTATGCCTTGAAGACAACGAACAAGCAGCAATCCTTGACTGCATTCTCATTTTTTAGGGAATTTTAACGAAACGCTTTTGTTACTGTTTATTTTAACGAAAAATCACATTTTTACACTAAAAAGTCAATTCTGATACTATTCACTTCACTCTTTATTTTATCTTTATCATTAAAACTCAAAATTTTCACATCATTTTTATTAGTTTTCCTCATTTTTTACCTTATAAATTGACCAGAGGTCAGTTTTTCATGCCTCAAAACGAAACTCAGTACCCAATTTCACAACCCACTTCTCAGAAACTCTAATACTGGTTACCCAAACAACTGGAAGCAATCGATCGTCGCCAAATCGACACACTCATTCTTCGTCCTCGAAGAAACACAATTGGAGGTACGTACGTAGTTTATCAGATCAAATTTTGTAACACATGTTATGTTTTAACTAAAGTGTAGATACGTGGTAGGGATATAGTTCCAACTCAAGTCTTTTCTCGAACTTGGGAGCTCAAAATATGGGAGTGCTGGCTGTGAGATTGATCTTAGTACATACAATTTTGAATGCATTTCTGTGCTGCTTGGAAGGAAATGAGAGAGATCAGCTTGCATTACTAGCCATCAAAGCTCAAATACAGCAAGACCCTCATCAAGTGTTGAGTTCTTGGAACGAATCCGTTCACTTTTGCAAGTGGTACGGTGTAACTTGCAGTCGAAGACATCGTGAGAGGGTCACCGTGCTCAACTTAGGGTCCCAAAACCTGGAGGGTTCCGTATCTCCACACATTGGAAACCTAAGCTTCCTAAGGGAACTCCGCCTCGGAAACAATAGCTTTACACATCAAATCCCTGCTGAAATCGGGCGGTTGCATAGGTTGCAAGTATTACTTCTACACAACAACAGACTCAGTGGCCCTATTCCGACCAACATATCCAATTGCTTCAACCTCATCACCATTCATTTTGGTTACAACAACTTAGTGGGTAAAATTCCTTCACAAATCGGCTCATTGTCCAAGCTTCAAACACTTGTTTTAGAGTTTAATTGCTTAACCGGAGAGATCCCTCCTTCCTTGGGAAACCTTTCTGCTCTTGAGATGCTTGCTGCATATAATAACAGCTTGTCCGGAAGCATCCCTAGTTCTTTAGGCCAATTGAAAAAAATAACCTTCTTTTCGTTGGATTTGAATCGATTGTCTGGCATGATCCCTCCTTCCATCTACAACCTCTCTAGTATTGTTACGTTTTCTATGTCGATAAACCAAATTCAAGGGAGTCTTCCCTCAAACTTGGGAATAACTCTTCCCAATCTCCAAAACTTTCACATTTTTACAAACCAATTTACCGGAGCAATTCCCATGTCAATATCCAACATCACAAGTCTGGCCAGATTCATTGTTGCAGAGAACAATCTATCCGGGCCAGTTCCGAGTTTGCGAAACCTTCATAACCTCCAACACTTCGCCATTAACCAAAACAATCTTGGAAGTCGTGGTTACGGTGACTTGAGTTTTATCTCAGACTTGATAAATGCCACAGAGCTAGGGCACTTGTTTTTAGGCACCAACGATTTTGGTGGGACTCTTCCCTCAGCAATTTCCAATCTCACAACAAAGCTTAAATGTTTGGGGTGCAAGAAAACCAACTAAATGGAAACATTCCATTTGGGTTCGGGAACCTGATCAGCTTGGAAGCATTGAGTTTGAGGAATAACCACTTCACAGGTAACATCCCCAATGACATTGGAAGGTTATCTAGTCTAGGGTTATTGGCTCTTGGGAAAAACGCATTATCCGGGAGCATTCCTTCCTCTCTAGGAAATTTAACCATGTTAACCACGCTCCAATTGCAAGGAAATAACCTTAATGGCAGCATCCCTCGGAGCCTAGGGGAATGCCGTCAGCTGGTCCAATTGAATCTTTCCCGAAATAACCTTGACGGCGTGATACCTGATCCAGTTCTTGGCCTCCCTTCCTTGTCCAAATATTTAGACTTGTCTAAAAACCGTTTTATTGGTTCCCTTCCCATGGAAGTTGGAAAGTTGAAAAGTCTAGGTGTGCTGGATGTTTCTGATAACATGCTATCCGGAGAACTTCCTAGCACCCTTGGTAGTTGTTTGGGTTTAGAAGTCCTACACTTGCAAGGTAACTACTTCAATGGGACAATACCTTCATCGATGGTTTCATTGAGAGGAGTTCAAGATTTAGACCTTTCTCGCAACAATTTCTCGGGTGAAATTCCACAATTTTTAGAAAGATTTTACTTCCTGAGGAATTTGAACCTGTCTTTCAATGATTTTTGGGGAGCGGTACCAACTCAAGGTGTTTTTAAGAATGCAAGTGCAAGTTCAGTTGTCGGAAACGCCAATCTCTGCGGCGGTGTTGCTGATTTCCATCTGCCCAAGTGCATCTCGAAAAATTCCAAGGGGAGAGGACTGTCCTCTAGATTGAAATTAATACTCTCCATAGTCCCTGCCTTTATAGGAATAGCTATGGTGTTGTTCGTTCTAACTCTCTGTCTGTTAAGGAAGAGAAGCAAAAAAATTGCATTACCGAGCACCAACTTGATGAACTCTATTTTGCAAGTGTCATATAGTACCCTCCTCAAAGCTACCGATGGGTTTTCTTCAACGAATCTGATTGGTTCGGGTAGCTTTGGATCTGTATACAAAGGAACTCTTGATGCTGCTGACGGATCACCTCAGCTTGTCGCCGTGAAGGTGTTTAACATGTTACACCAAGGAGCTTCTAAGAGCTTCCTAGCCGAATGTGAGGCACTAAAAAATATTAGGCATCGGAATCTTGTCAAGATTATAACAGCATGTTCAAGTGTTGATTTTCACGGTCATGATTTCAAGGCTTTGGTTTACGAGTTCATGGACAATGGAAACTTGGATGAGTGGTTGCATCCAACTTCTGGAACACAAGAGGATACACACGCTCCCAAATATCTGAATCTTATTCAGAGGCTAGACGTTGCGATTGATGTTGCTTGTTCGTTGGACTATCTTCACAATCATTGTGAGATGCCAATTGTTCATTGTGACCTCGAACCAAGTAATGTTCTGTTGGATAAAGATTTGACTGCACATGTTTCCGACTTTGGACTAGCAAGATTTGTCTTAAAACCAACTGATAACGTGCCAACAAATCATCAAACAAGTTCAATTGGGATAAGAGGATCAGTTGGTTATGCTGCTCCGGGTAAATATTCTCATCCCTCGTACTTCACAGTTCCCTTCACTTCTTTCTTACTCTAAAGTAACTCAAAGAGAGCTATTCTATTTACATTTGAAGTGATAATTTGTGATGTCTGATTGAATTGTAGAGTATGGTATGGGAAGTGAGGTTTCAACATACGGAGATGTCTACAGCTTTGGCATTCTTTTATTAGAGATGTTCACTGGGAAGAGACCTACCGACAGCATGTTTAGTGACGACTTCAACCTTCATAACTTTGTGAAGACGGCTTACCTGGAGCGAGCTACAGAGATTGCAGATCTGCTACTTCTTCAAGGAGGTGCCAAGGACACTCCCGACGATCAATGCGGCTCGAGAGCTCAAAAACTCGAGGAGTGCTTGAGTTTAACATTCGGAATTGGGATTGCTTGTTCTGCTGAATCCCCAACAGACCGAAAGGATATCAGTGGCGTCGCATCTGAATTGCGCTCCATTAGGAACAACCTTCCTGCATAAGAAGTTTTGTTTTATATGTTCTGCATGAGATCTGTTGCTAGATATATTCATAAGGGGTCAAGCTGCTTGAACATATGTTGTGTTTACTTTCATATGAGCTTAGTAAGTTTAATACCTTAAATTATGTATATAGCAAAGTTTCATTAACTGAAAAACAATTTATTATTAGCTGGTTTTGACTTTGTTGCACAAGCAAGAAGAAGCATAAAATGAGACAGTGCAATTATATGGTTTAGTAAGTTGTCCAGCTAACAGATGCTTGTGTTGAAGGCGGTTAATTGTCCTAGTGATTAGAACATTTCTCTTCAAACTATTGTGTTCCGCATTATAATTCTTTCTTGATGTAGAACAAATGCCTGGGTGGATTGAACAGGAAATTGACTGTCAGAAGACAAAAAGACGCAGTGGGAATTTGCAGATTTGGGGTCTGATCTCCGATTTGGGCCATGATACATTTTTGGAAAGAGAACAGCGTCGCGGTTTCAACACACAACTGCGTAGTGAAATATAATGGATTTTAGCTATATGAGGTCGTTTAGGATTTCAAAACTGCATTTAAATTCCTGTTATAAAAAATGGACCTTTTGAGTTGTCCAAAGGTGTTGTAAACTGCTTGTTTAAGTCGTGTCTGTTATCCAATGCACTCATCAATTAATCAAATTATCCTTTTATATTTTTATCAAACTGGTGGACTCCAATAACTCTGGTTCTTCAAAGATTTACGTTGGTAATCCTTTTGCTTCGTGCTGCGTCATTTCTCCTCTATTCAGCCTAGATGACTAGTGTAAAAAATAGGTTGTTTTAACAAAAAGCTCACGGTACTGTTCATTTTAATGAAAAACCATATTTTTACATTAAAAAGTCAATCCTGTTACTATTCACTTTACCCTTTATTTTGTCCTTATCGTTAAAATTTAAAGTTTTCAAGTTATTTTCATTAGTTTTTCTTAAAAAAGATCATTTGTAATAATAATTATAAAAAGACCGTAATGTTTATAGGTAAACAGTACAATTGACGTGTATCACATCTTGTGAAAAAATAATCAAACAAGAATTATTACACAAAAATGAATCTTGCAGGAATTTGTAAGTAGCATATTCTATAACAAGCATTTTGAACAATTTTTCATGTACAAAGGTGACAAGAAAAAAAAGTTGATAAAAAAGTAGAATATTCTTCATGTCTTTCACATCTAGTACACTTTTCTTGGGTTCTCTCAATTATAAATTTATATTTACCATCTTTGTGGTGTGGAGGTTGGGTTAATAACCATCCAACATTAAAACTTATTAAAAATGGTCATTTGAAAGTTTCAAAGATCGTGACCACATGGAAAGATAACACAAAACTTGCACCATAAGAAAAAGAAAATAATAAAACAATACAATGGAAAGTTTGGACAAATTTCCCAAATTCCAACTCCCACCCACTCATGTTAAACAAATTTATTCATTTTTATTACATCCATCCCTTTTTAGAAACACGGCATTTAGACACTAAATGATTAATTGCAGGTAAGAAATTGTTTTCCGTTACATACAAATTTTAGTCGCATACATAAGCAAAAGTAAAAATTTAAAAATAAAATAAAAGAGTAACTTATAAGATCTCAGAGAGAAAAAGTTTATAGACACTAGTTAAGCTGTCATTTGTCTTAATTAATGGAGTATTTTTCATGGCATCCTATTTTATAATTTCATCATGTCTTATCTAATGGATTTGGATCTCATCTGTATTCAAATTGTGAGAAGTCTAAGAATCCTCAAATCTGAGTCATTCATCGTACATCATGAGATTAAAAATTATTTGATTTTTTTATTAAAAATTAAATATAAATAATATATGACGAATGATGATCGTATAATGTACAATAAATAACTAGAATATAAGGATTATTGTGATCCCCATAAAATGAATATGAAGAGGATCCTCTTCCCTACGCAACCAGCCAACTCTCCCCATAAATCAAGAATTAATGATTTCTCAAATCATGTAGAATTTTTTAACTTTTGAATGAGTTTGATGCCCTTGGATGCTGTATTTGTGTGCAAAGTGAGTTTTCAACGTCCAGAGAGCGGAAGAAGAGAAGAGGAGGCTGAAAGTTACGGCCTTTAAGCAAAGAAAAAAAAAGTAAGCAAATTGCAGAGGAGAGAGAGAGAGAGGAGAGAGGGGCTAAAAGCCTAAAACGAGTTTAACAACAAAGCAAAGAGAGAGAAGGAGGGTTTGAGGTTTTGCCCTACTGTCATGCACTTTGTCATCACTCTCGTCGGATGCGATTTATAGAACTCTGCAAATAGTGGTCTTTCTCTATCACTACATTCTTGATTAGGGCTTCTCTGCGTCACGGGTTCACAAGCCGATTCGACTCGGCCGGGTGAACTGGATCTCTCTCCAACTTCAAGTGAGTATACCTTCTCGTTCGTTCCTTGTATGTCTTAACTCATGAAAATCTGGGTTTGCTTTGCTTTTGCTTTTGCTTTTGTGGGTTCAGTGAGATTTCTCTGTTCTTTCTTAGCTTGTGGGTTTCGATTGGTGAGGATCCAGATGAGATTTTTTCGATAATTCCTAGAGAAATTGAGAAAATTTCACTTTATAAAAGAATATAAGAAAAGCCCAATTTCGATTTTATTGCATTTAGCTGCTTAAAGTTGCTGTTTTCTTTTTGCTCCCATTTTGTGTGAGACTCGTAGTTTTGCAGCTTTTGATTTTTGGGGTTTTTTTGTGTGATATTAGGATTTGAATGGCGCATTCCGTGAATGATAATAGCATTGAGAGTTTGATATCTGCAAGCAAGGCATTGAGGCTAAGCTTACAGAAATCACAGAGCATAGGGTCGGTTCTGGAGAAAGCCGGAAACCGATTTGAAGAGATAAACCACAGATTACCTTCTCTTGAAACTGCAGTTCGACCCATTCGCGCAGACAAGGAAGCCCTTGCTGCTGTCGGTGGTCATATTAACCGCGCTGTTGGCCCTGCTGCAGCTGTGCTTAAAGTTTTTGATGCTGTTCATGGACTCGAGAAGTCTCTATTGTCAGATCCGCGTAGTGATCTGCCTGGTTACTTATCAGTGTTGAAACGTCTGCAAGAGGCTCTTAGATTTCTGGGTGACAATTGTGGATTGGCAATTCAGTGGTTGGAGGATATAGTAGAGTACTTGGAGGATAATGCGGTTGCGGATGAGAGGTACCTTTCAAATTTGAAGAAATCATTGAAAAGTCTCCGAGAATTGCAGAGTGAGGAGGAAAAGGCCAACCTCGATGGAGGGCTTCTGGAGGCTGCTCTGGAAAAATTAGAAAATGAGTTCAGGAGGCTCCTCACAGAACATAGCGTGCCACTTCCAATGTCATCACCTTCATCTCTTGGAGAACAAGCATGCATTGCGCCATCACCGTTACCTGTTCTGGTAATCCAAAAGTTGCAAGCTATACTTGGAAGATTGATTGCTAATAACAGACTTGAGAAGTGTATATCTATTTATGTTGAAGTTCGAAGTTCGAATGTAAGGGCAAGTTTACAAGCTCTCAATTTGGATTACCTTGAGATATCAATTGCAGAGTTTAATGATGTGCAGAGCATAGAGGGATATATATCACAGTGGGGAAAGCATTTGGAGTTTGCGGTGAAACACTTGTTTGAGGCGGAGTATAAGTTGTGTAATGATGTTTTTGAGAGGATTGGATTGGATGTGTGGATGGGTTGCTTTGCAAAGATAGCTGCTCAGGCTGGTATTCTTGCATTCCTACAATTTGGTAAGACTGTTACAGAGAGCAAAAAAGATCCGATAAAGCTTTTGAAGTTGTTGGACATATTTGCATCTTTAAACAAATTGAGACTGGACTTCAACCGACTTTTTGGTGGACCAGCATGTCTTGAAATCCAAATCCTGACAAGGGATCTCATTAAGAGTGTCATTGATGGAGCAGCTGAAATTTTCTGGGAGCTTCTTCTTCAGGTGAAACTGCAAAGGCAGAACCCGCCTCCTCAAGATGGGAGTGTTCCGAAATTGGTCAGTTTTATTACGGATTATTGTAATAAACTGCTTGGGGATGATTATAAGCCAATCTTAACTCAGGTTCTCATCATTTATCGAAGTTGGAAGCATGAGAAATTCCAAGAAGGGCTCCTTATAAATGAGGTTTTAGAAATTGTTAAAGCCATTGAGCTAAATTTGGAGGCGTGGATAAAGGCTTATGAGGATACCAGCTTGGCCAACCTTTTTGCAATGAACAACCATTGGCATTTGTACAAGCACCTGAAGGGAACTAAACTGGGGGTTCTGCTGGGGGATGCTTGGTTACGAGAACATGAACAGTACAAAGACTATTATTCCACAGTTTTCTTGAGAGATAGTTGGGGGAAACTTCCGGGTCATTTAAGTAGAGAAGGTCTGATTCTGTTCTCAGGTGGTCGTGCCACTGCCCGTGATCTTGTCAAGAAGAGGCTAAAAAGCTTCAATGACGCGTTCGATGACATGTATAAGAAGCAATCGAGTTGGATAATGTCAGATAAAGATCTAAGGGAGAAGACCTGCCAGCTCATAGTGCAGGCTGTTGTGCCTGTTTACAGAAGTTACATGCAGAATTATGGGCCCTTGGTCGAGCAAGATGCAAGTTCAAGCAAGTATGCAAAGTACTCTGTGCACACTTTTGAAAAAATGCTCATGTCTCTTTTTCAGCCAAAGCCGGTTAGATATGGCAGTTTCAAAGGTAGGCAAATGAGCGGGAAATTCAATGGAGTAGCAGATCTCCGCCGTACTACCTCTGCGGTTGTGTGATTGTCGAACTATGTGCATTGTGGAATCACATGGCGGGACTATCCTCCCCTCTACATGATTGGCCTTTCATCTTGTATATGACGACATTCTCAGGAGCCTGGAACTGAATACTGCTGTCCCATTGCCTGAGATTCCAAGATATGGCATCCCTGTAACTCATCTGAATGCTATGAAGAGTTGAACACTGTTTCCATTGCGTGCGAGTTCTAGGCCATGGGGTCTCCAATTCCATGCATGATGGTGAACAATTATATAACCCAGTTGGACCCTAGCGTAGATAATATATTCAGGTATAGCTATCTGTTTTCTTTGATCTCAGACTCATTGATTAAGTTATATTAGGTTAGGCAGCTGGAGAAACGTAATAGCTTTGCTAGATTCTGTGTACAATTCTTTCGTATAAAGTGCATCAAAGAGGTCTACCTAGGATTGAATTAATTACTTGTAAGAACATGGGAAAGCTTATAATTTAGGGACCTTCATGAGATGCTAGTTTTTGTGCTCCGAAACGGCATTTTTGAGAACTTTCAAAATGCCTAAGAGCCAAGTGCTGTCGGAATACTGTTGAGAATAAAGTGCCTACTCGTTTTGATGGACCTGTGTACTTTAGCCTTCAGTAATTTGTCAATGGCGCTTCTCTTTTCGTTTCACTTTTCTGCCTTTGATTCCAACTTTTCCGCTTTGACTCGAAACTTTTCTGCTTATGCTCGGTGTATCTGTTCGTTCTCCTTAGACTTGCTGGGCAAGACATGAGTTGCTGTGTGCTCTACAAGTTTTAAGGAAAGAAGAGTAGGTTGCTTTGTAGGCAAACCTGAGGCCTTTGTGTTACAAAGCCCTTTTCTGGATAACAAAACCGGCGGCAGCGTCACTGGCATCTTTATTGTTTTATTCCAGTTGATAAAATCTTGTTCATTTGGCCGGCCATGGTGCAACACTTACACATCGTTTACATGAAAATCTTAATTGTAGCGGTGGTCCTGAACTCGTACGAATTATATTTGGTACCTCAAACTCCGCTTAATGTCGCATAATTGGTCCTTTTGTTAACTCTTGTTAGTTTTTCTGTCAAATACGGGAAGAGGGAGGGAGTTGGAGTTATTAATCAAGTTGAGGTCAAGTTGAGGGACCACAATGTAACTCATGCAAAATATGAGGGACCTTTTCTATAATTATGGCAGGAGCGCAACGATCTAGCCCAATCGATTTCCTTTCCTTCAGTTATTGTCTTCCCGTATCCTAGTCCATTAATAACAAAACTGATTCTTCACTTTAACCTTTTTTTCCATTCGAACTCCTTTTTTTTATTTTTTATTCCTACATGCGTAAATGTTAAGAAATAAGAAAGGGTTTTGTGCTTTTTTACAAGAGGACTCCTCGTCCCTTCCTAGTAAGAAGGTATTGCTGACCTGTAAATCATAGTTTGATACGCATACATAAACGACTCAAGTCTCGTAACTTTCAAACCGAATAATTCCATTAGGGACAAATCAGAAACTATTTCCATTCCAAAAATTCAAACATTTCTGCACAAATGTTTCTTATATGGAGACCAGACCAGGCCCACGGAAGAATTAAAATTTATCATCAATGGAAGTCTGTTCTCTTGGTTTATCTTCTTCCTATTTTTCTCTAATCTCTTGTCAACATAACTAATCATCGAAATTACTTGACGGAAAAGAAACGTAAAGTTATTAACAAACAAGGTTTTACACAGTGTCTTACGCTAAACCAAGATTAGTGATGTTAACTACACAAGTTTTCTTGTTTACCTTCTTTAATCTGGCTTGCATTATCTATAAACAATTGTCACCAGAAATTGGAAACCCTAATTTCCCAATATCAAAGTTTGTGGTGAACACGATGGATATATAGTAGTTTTCTTCCACTTTCCCTAACGTGACAGCAAGCTTGCAAATAGGGACCAGTTTGCAGGCACATTGGATTCACATAAGGACTAGTCAATGTCAACCCCATAGAAAGGAAGCCCTAAGCCACTTTGATATTTTGTGGTTGTGAACTTAGGGTTTGTAACATGGGAACATTGGAATTTTCTTTTTAATCTGTAAAATTTAGTAAAATATGGATGGTATTTTTAGGTTGTATGAAAGTAAGATTATGTTGAAGTGAAAAACGAGAATACCACATTTAAAAGAAGAGTTACAACCACTTTCTACACTTTTTAGCATCATTCATGCTCCAATGGATGTGAGAAAAGGAAGCGAGAATACCACGTATATCTTGCTGAAGTTGAGGTCCAAAACATTCTACACCTCCATTTCTCGTATTTAGATTCAGCCTTTCTTAAAATAACATGTTACGTTTCGATATTGACCTAATTGTCAGGTGTTGATTTATGAAAATTTTGATTAATAAGCAAGCGACACATCACCAACACATGATTATTCAAAAAACGACCAATTAATCGTCTTTCATTTTGTCAAGGTTTAGGTTGCAGCATTCAACGTTCGGATATGGAGGAGGAAAAATAGATGATCATGATGGATGATGAGGACCACAACAATAACGATAAGAGTTGCCAATAATGATTTGACACTGAAACACGGTGATGCATTGCATTGTTCAAGTCCTTTTTTGTTCCCTTACATCCGAGGAGGAAGGTGAGAATTGAGACATGTTTGTGCTGTGTTTCACTCAATCTGGTCATGCCTCGTTCCAACAACACTCGTTCTTCAAATGTCTAGAAACATATGACAAGTTAAAAAGACACTGAAAATTACTTTTTTTTTTTTTTAACTTTTTCCAATCCGTAAAACTGTAAAAGTACTGTTGTGAATAATGTTTTTAACTGTCAATTAGTATTGCGGTTTGTGGTATTCTTTTTCTTCGGAAGTAAAAGTGTTTTTCGGAGGCATCTCATTGGAAACAACGTTTTCATTTTCCGTTCTAAAATTTCAGAATCATATATCAGATTAGAAAAATAATATAATTAAAAATTCCCTGTAATTCGCATACAAGAAAAAAAAACACTCATAAATCTAGGTAACACTACAAAGAAGAAGAGGAGGGGAGAAGAAATTAGGAGAGAGAGAAGACGAAGAAGGAGTGAGAGAGCAAGAAAGAGGTAGGAAGGAGGAGAAAGAAAGAGAAAAGTAACGAAGAAAAAAGATGAGAGAGAAATGAAGAGATAAGAACTCATCCTTAAACATAGAAATAATCATGACATCACTTGTCACATGGATAAGTTTTGTCTATCCATGAAATAATAAAAAATGTTGTCTCTCTCCAAGTAAGTCTTGAAATCTTTAAATGCATTTCAATTTTCATTTCATTTTTTGAAAAAATTCGGATTCGAAAATTTTACTATTGTAATTGCCGTTGCATTTCAACTTGCACCTTTAATGAGAGATTTCAGATTAGAATATCAAAATGACGAGTTTGAAACCAATTTATTTTTTATTTGTTATTGTAGATAGATAATTGTATCACAAAATAATGCTTTGAGTCACTTTAAATTTTGAATGGTATCTGAGATGTGAACCATATTGTTTTACCAACTGGGGGATATATGCTCTAGATATATTAACTTTGTCACTTACACGAATAAGCCATTATTATAATTATTAATCATTATTAAAGGTTGGGGATCTAGCGAGGGATTTCTACACATGCAGTGGATATGCCCTTCTATGAATTTTAAAGGGGCCTTTAGATTTTAGTCTACTCAACGTAATAATTTTTAAATTTTTTTTAATAAATGATATTATTTATATTAGTTCGATTTAATGGATACTAAAGTTCTTTTCTCTCCTTATGCGTGATAATATTTATTTATATACAATGATTCTCTCTAGCTTTGCTCAAGCTTAAAGCAAAAAATAAACATAGTTGTGCATCGAGAAAAAAAAGAATGTGAAAATTACTTTGTGAAAAGAGTTATTACTACAACTCTGAAATAGTTATCTTACACTAAATATAGTTCAGATGACTATTTTAAAGTAAAAAATATATATTATTATGAGAAATGCTAAGCAGATTCTCTCAAAAGTGAGGTTCTCCATCGCCTTATGTTTTTGGCATAATATTTTATAATATAGGTACGAATAATATTGAACTGTAAAGTGTCAGAAAGCCCATGAAAGTCCGCTTTGAGAAATTAAGTCACTTAGCATTTTTCTGTTATTATACATCATATGGCATATCCCCATAAGCAAACTAGTTTACCATTATTGAATCTTTAATTAATAAACTAATTATTGTTTATGAAATTAATTAACTGGTTTATCTAAAGAGATAAGGTAGGCTTGCAAATGGCTAAACCATTGGTCACCCTCCCCACATTGACCTCGTACCCTCCAATCAAATAATTTTTCGAATTGAAAATAATTTTCCATATATTAGATTAATAGATGTGTTTATAGAAGACTAGGTTAGAATATCTGTCTGCCAATAAGGCAAAGTCCACCTTAATAACCAATTTCTTTATTTGCTTAAACAAATAAATAAAATCTTATATGCTTTTGAAAAATCCAGATCTCTCTGCCTACATATTATTCAAGTAAATAATTAAGTTTCCAAATTTTGCAACTGGATCTGTATACCAACAACCTATATATTATTCAATCTACCCAAAAAAAAAAGCTATATATTATTCTATTTAGCATGCATGGCTGGTCCAAGATAATTAGTGATGGTGCTTTTTTATGGGTAATTATTTTTGCTCCAATCCTTTCTCATGTAACTATTTTTTCAGGAAGCATTTGAATTTTTTAAAGCTCTCGACGTGTTTCTAAAAAAATCATTTATAGCAACAAAAGCTAATGAACAGAAGTGTTTTTACACAATCACTTCTGAACATGCCCTAAAGTTGATCGATCTTGCATTGATCATGATGTAGCTAATGATGACATCTACATGTTAACCTCCGACGTGACTATTTTCCTATCAACAGCGCTATTAGAAACACAAAATTAATCATGTTGCTCTCATCATTTCTAACAAACATTACCCGATTACTGTATGTAAAATCCACCCATATTAGAAGGCGAGTTAAACATTATTCTTTTCGTAATGATCAAAGCAAAAAAAAATAAAACTCCAACAACCATAAAAATGGACAGTTGGGTCGTGACCCCTTCCCAATTAAAGTATAGCTAGTGTGTCCTGTCAATAATCTCTTTGCTTAATCAAAGTTTTCTCAAATATTCGGACCGTACTGATATTTTTTGATAAAATATGGCCCTCCTAACTTTAAATTCAAATTTTTACCCTTAAATCAAATTCTACTTTTTTCAATAGTTACTTGGAACAAAATGTATTGCGTGTGCCTTATTGGTTCATCCAAAATTTGACAAGATTTGAGTGAAATGATTATGTTGGTAATATTGCTAACTACCTTATCATCAACGTTGACCATCCATAACTGGTGTGTTTGAGATTACTTTTTCAAGGGTTAAAATTTTACGACATTATAAAATATTTATAACAATGTTGGACATAAAAATCTAAAAAGAGTTATGGGTTGTTGAAGTGTTTTTTTTAAAAAAAAAAAAACAAAACAAAAAAAAAGCAACCATTACAGACGTTGTTAACCAAAATAAACTGAATTCATGTGCTTTAAAAATAAAAAATAAAATCACTTACAGCTTAAACGTATTTACCAAAGTCCTAATCAAACTCTTGGACATATGAGTCATTGTACACTATTGAAATTTAAGATTTGGGACAAGTTAATGTGGACCCAAATCCCTTGGGTTTTTCAAAATCTTATCTTGCTTTAAATATTCCCTCCTCGGCATTATTTTAAACTAATCCAAAACCTAACCAATGTGTGGTGCTCTGCTCCCAACGTACTAGTTTTATGTTTTATGTTAAGAGTGGCGACTCGATCTAGTTGTACAATTATTGGGACACCATCCCAAATATTGATATGACTTTTGAGGTGGAGGGCAAATCGCAATGCAAGGATAAATTTTGGGTGTAAAATATGGACCCAGCTTCTGAACTTCTAGTTCTCATACATTTTTATTTTTTTTATTTTATACGATTATAATTAAATCACGTTAATATTTTATTAATTTTTTTATAGAAATAATAAGACAAAAAGTAATAATGATATAAAATGTTGACGTGAATTAACCGTGTCCGCACAAATAACAGGAGATGAGAATGTATGGAAACTGGGAGGGTAGAGAAGCCAGTAAAATATTTATGCTTTTTTTTTTTTTTTTTTTTTTTCATACATCACGTCAATTTAAAAGTTGAGAGCAAGAGGTTGTTACCCTATATCATCATCATTAGAAATAAAGGAAAAATAATGAAAAAGGCTTGAAAACTTTGAGTTGTAATGATAAAGATAAAATAAATGATAAAGTAAATAGTACCAGGATTGACTTTTTAGTGTAAAAATATAATTTTTCGTTAAAGTGAGCAGTACCTTGAGTTTTTCGTTAAAATTCTTTAGAAATAAATCATTTGATTAATTGTTTCACATTGGAAAGTTGATTATTCGTATTTGAGGTGCACATCGTCGCACTTCGTAATGTTGTGGGTGCGATAAGAACAGAGGAGTAGAACACATGAGATTAAATAAGGTTTTCCCGAACGAGGCCACTAGCAAATTTAGAGCTTGTGTTATATATGTATAATCTCACGTAGTACATAGTTTAGTAATGTTACTCTTTATTTGTAAGTGAAATTTTTTAAGTTTGATTCTCATAAATAATGTGTTTGATACAATTCATTATATTGCATAACTTAATATGGAACTTCAACCCTTAGACTATCTTCAACCCTTGGGTTAAAACCTAAATTTTTTAACCTAGAAAATTTAGGTTTTAACCCATAAACAGTTTTTTTACTCAAACCCTTATGGGTTAAATTTTTTGTCCTAGACTATTAAAAAATAAATTTAGGATAATTTTTTTTTTCTTAAACTAACTTGTCTTAAGGAAAAAAAAATTATGTAGACTATCCTAATTTAACTTGGTAAGTGTTATTGACACTCCAAAAATCTTATTCTACACTCCTCTCAAGTGTATTGTTCTTTCTAAATATAGAAAGTTTGGAGGGTAGAATGACAATTTTGGAGTGCCAATAACAATTCCCTTTAATTTTATGAACATTTTAACCTAAAAATATTTAGATTCTAATAAGTATTGAAAAATCACTAAACCATCACCATGAAACTCATGGAATACTATAAAAGAATATGAAACACATGAAATTTTTTCTAATTACTTTAGCCGTTGAATTTAAATTTGGACCATAAGATCTTCTTTTTAACCGTTAGATTTCATCATATTAGATCTTAGCCGTTAAATTTAATGAATTTGTAAATATAAAATTAAAAAAAAATTCACAAATAATGTGGGCCAGCCCACTAACCCATGGGCAACATTAGGCTAAATTTACCTCAAAAATGAGTTTTGAGTTAAAACTCATGTTCATTCCAAGAGTTGGAGCAAGTTAAAAAAGGTTTAGAACCTAAAATTAGAGTTTTACCTAAATAATTAGAGCAGGTGTTACGTAAATATATTTGTTTATATAAAAAAATGCATAAGTGGCCCAAATTCTATGTTTTGCAAAATGTAATCTTATCCACAAAGATTCAGTATTCATCTACCAATCAGAATATTAACAAATATATTTACATGCATCGATGAGAGCAAAACTGTTTAAATCAGTAAAAAAAATTAATCGGTAAACATTTCCAATGATTTATTTATTAGAGGACTAAATCAGGAAGAAAAATAAAAATAATAAGAAGAAATATCCGCGACGACAATTATTGTATATACGTAAAGGGGTAATAAAAAGTTAATTTGTTTAAGGGAAGTGTTATTAGCACTCTAAAAATTTCATTCTATATTTCTCACAATATTTTGACACGAGAAGGTTTTGTGTCTAAATACAAAATGTGTGTATTAATGTAAGTGGTTTGGTCGGCAGAAAAGAATGAAAGAGATATTATGAGATAATCATTCTCCAGGCAAAATGGATAGGGATGCATTTAATCCACACTAAACGCCTCAGTTGCTGATGTATTCACAGTATATTAGATAGGATTTTCTACTACCTTTTTTTTTATTTGACTTTTTTTATTGTTTGATATTTTAATTTTAATTGATTAAATATGTTGTATCTAGAAGACTAGAACTCTAATACGGATTCGATCTTTGCTAATTTTCTTATTCCTAACAACTAACTATTTAACATACTAATAGTTTTATTGTACTAAATAAATACTTGTTCTTCTATAAATGGAATACGGTATGTTGAATAATGTCGTATTTGTTTGGTAAAACATATAATTTCTCTCTTCAATATGACAACACTATTTCTTTTTTTTTTCTTTTTTTTTTCAAGGTAATGAGAACTTATCAAGACACGATCAAAAGGTCACACACACCAAAAGAAGCACCACACAGTTTCACAATAAAGTTAAAGAACACTTATTTTATGTTATTCTTACTCAAACTCTTTTTTATTATTTAGAGATGATGTTTACTATTATTATTCATGAGAAAATAAGAGGATTCCACTGGCGTATAAGAGAGGATATATGCACTTTGTTTTAGTTGACTGACATAATTTATGTATTCATTTTTTGGTTATAATATTAAACATTATTATTATTTTTCTTTAAGGTTACAAACTCGCATAGGAGGAAAAGAGGATTAAAATTCGCTCAATTGTGTATATAGTAGAAATGCTCTCTACTACTACATCTACAAACCTCGCTTCCTATTTTTTTAAACATAACGAAGTATTTATACTATGAGGTGAAGGATTTAACCCAAACGAAAAAAATGTGCATAATTATGAGCTATTGACATTCTACCTAGAGTTTATAAACCCTAAAGTTGGCCATAAAAAAGAAAAGTTTCGGCCATTGTCTACTCATAACTTATTTATTTACACGAAAGATAATGCAGAAGACACATTCATCAAATAACAGGACTACTCTTCTATAAGGTGGGAAGTAGCCAATTAGTAGGTACCTATCTCAATAGACGTATCGTTACATTTGATCGAACCTGAAACTTTTTGTCTATTCGTGATTGATTAACCATTTTTGCAAACGTCAATCACCAGATAACGTTCTCTTATTGGTCAAAATTTAGCCAATTAGAAAGTCTGGTCAGAAGTTACCAATTAAAAAGTTAGTTCGAAGCGACAAATCAAAATATTATGTATCACGTGGAAGGTTTGTTCTAGTTATCCCACTTAAGCTAGACATGTCATCTTACGACGCGTCCAAACTACATAAAAGGATAGCTTATTACGTAATAAAGAAAAATGTGAGATATAAAAAAAGTCATAATTTAAATTGTCAGCGAAATTCAATTCAGAATTAAATAATTGCATGGTTAAGGCATTCTCTTCACATCCCGAGTTCAAACATCCTCCCTCCTCTTAATAAAAGAGAAAATTACTAATCAAATTTGAATTTGTTCAAAAACTGAAAGAACACACAAAAATCCAGTGCATTTTGTATAGATCGAGACTTGTAGTTTTATTCTTTACTCACTCCATATTGGGCAGGAAATCGTTCGATAACACTTCCCCGATTTTGTTCTTAGACTAGAAGGTTCTTAATTAAGGATAATTTTTTGTGTGTACAATCATGATATTCTGACTTGCAATATCCAACACAATGTAGAAGGAAAACACTAAAATACTTGCTAAGATTTTGACATTGATGATACAATTAAAGATATGCAAGAGAGACACATTATCCATGTGATATCATAGTATAATTTGGATTGAGGATCATAAACCAGTTGCTATTTAACAATTTATTTATTATCAATAAAAATGGAAATAGAATAATTAGTAATTTTTGTTGAACAAAAGATATTATCAATACTAAAGAGGTGGAGGAGTGGGCTTAGTCTCGTAATGGACTAACAATAATGTGGTTCAAATTTGTTTTTGGTTAGAATCATGCTTAAGACCTATCACTTATAAGTGAAGAGAAATACCACTAAACTGTAGTACTAAGTGGCAGGATACTTAGTAATTAGTACAAAAATATTAGCACTTCCGCTTGCTAACAACAGTCTCACTTGAATCTCATTGTTTTATTTTCTCAACTCTCATTCTCATGCGACTCACTTAAAAATTGTTTAACCGTTTATTATTATTTGATTTTCAACGGTAACATAAAAAATACGATTCGTTTATAATCGTTGGTCGGTAAACGATTAAATGTTTGTTTTGACCAATAAAAAATAAATAAAATACAAAAATAAAGGATTTGTAATGCATATAAATACATGTTATATTCTGTAGAAAAGCATAGGAAGTAGGAAGAGTGTAGAGATATTGTTTTGACATAAATAAGATAATAAGAGTTTCCGGAAGTGGATTTGTTTGGTCACTGTCGTCGCCACGTAATCGCGAACGTGTCCAAGCGCGTGCGCATGCGTCCCTATTCGCCGCCGGTAGACGTTAGCCTTTTCCTTCCCCCCTCAAAACTCATGCGACTCACTGTTGCCTATATATACCCCTCTCCACCTTTACTCCCCTTACGAACTTGTTTTTTTTCCTCTCTTATCCTCCACCGCTTCCTTAACCTGCGCACCCCCTGGATCATGTGACTCTCCGTCTTCCTCTTCTTCTTCCCTTCAATTGATGACTACAAGCCCCGTTATCTGGAAGCTCAAACGACGACGCCGACGCATCGGTGAAGGGTAAATCCGTAATTCCCCCGCTCGCCGTCTCGGAAACTCCCAGTTCGTTCTTTTCCGTTGCTTCGAATGGACGTCCTAGTGGGCCCCACCTTCTCCATCGACGTATCGTCCTACGGCCCCGCGCCGACGCAGGACAACCGCAACCGCGGCGGTCTGTACCTGAATCAGGACCGCGGCGCCGCGGTGGCGGAGAAGGCGTCGTCGGACAGCTCGTCGTCTATCGGTGTTCCGGATGACAGCGAGGAAGAGGAAGACTCCAAAGGCGATAACGGCGATGAGGTGCAGAGCAAGTTTAACGGCGGCGGAGGAGGAGGGTTGGGTTCTCTGGGTTCATTTGGATCACTCGAAGATTCTCTCCCAATCAAGTAAACCCCTCCAGATCTGCAAATATTAATCCCATACCGATCAGTTTTACTGAATTTTCAGTTTTTGATCCATCCCAGAGTAAATTAATTTTTGTTTTAATTTGTTCAGGAGGGGATTATCCAACTATTTTTCAGGAAAATCAAAGTCATTTGCCAGCCTGTCAGAAGTGAGCAGCACTGTGAGTTCAGTGAAGGAGGTGGAGAAGCAGGACAACCCATTCAACAAGCGGCGGCGGGTTCTGATCGCCTCCAAGTGGTCGAGAAGATCTTCGTCTTCCTCCTCCCTCTACAACTGGCCAAACCCTAAGTCCATGCCGCTGCTAGCCCTAGCCGAAGACGGAGACGAAGATGACGACGAACACGGCCGCGATCGAGAAGGCGAGGGAGAGAACGCGTCGTCGGAGCAATCCTCATCGGACGAGAAGGAGGATCAGGAGAGGAGGGCCCCACAGAAACTGCTCGACAGGAGGCTGAAGAGCTTCAAGTCAAAGAGTTGCTATTGCCTCTCAGATCTGCAGGAACACGATGAGCAGTAACAACTGGTGGTATTTTTTTTTAATAATTTTTATTTTGATTTAGTTTTAGGGTTGTTGGATGGATGGCGGGGTTTGTGTTGTTTGTACGTGGGCAGTCAGAAAAAAATATATAAATATATAAATGGCTAACTTTGTTTCTTCATCGGAGAGGACACTGAAAGATCTTTAGTTCAAATCAACGAAACTCCGTGCATGATTTGGGGCAGAAAAGTTATTGTGGTTAATTTTTATTTTAGTACACTGATATATTTAAAAAATAAAAAATAAAAAAAATAAAATTGACCATAAAATGAAAATAAAACCGGCACGCATCTCAACCCCGACACCATGTCTTACCAACAGACTCTCTAGAAGTCTAAACTTATCAAAATTAAAGCCCAAGTCAGTCAGACTCTCTAGAGTTTCTTTTTATTACTCATGCCTGTAATGAGGTTGCACATCAAATAACTTCTTATAACACATATGTAAGGGATTTCATATGTGAAATCGCTTTAAATCAGAATGGCTGTATAACTCTTTAACTTTTGAGGTAAACATTCCAATTTGTTTTTAATAATATCTGAATTTCGATCAAAAAGTAAAAGAAAAAGAACAACGATAATTGCTAATTGGATCGACATTGTTAACGGACTTGACATAGGATTATGATTAACAACTTTTCACCATAAATTCGGGTCTCCTCACATAATATTTTAGCAGTATGATTCCCTTACTGTGTGGATTATCGTTTTTTATTTTTGATTTATTTTTATTGTTAATCGGATATGGATAAACGTACGGTGATGTGCTGGATCGGATGTGTGAAGTACAAAGACATGTTTGCCCCTCAATCAATTATTTAGGTCAATTTTTGGTGTGGAATATTGACTTTAAATCTGTTATCCTTTTTCCCATCCATAAAAAAGGGAAAATTGAAAACAGAGAGTACTTTTGTTCTTAGAAAAACTGGACTGAACTTCTGCTTTGTTGAGCTGGAGAATTTGGTATGCACTTCGATGTTTGACATACATTGCTGAATCTAACTGTAGTACGAGCATAGAAGAATTAAAAGAAATTTAACAGATGAATACGAGCTATTTAAGAGAGAATGTTTAGTAGAATGACTCGTCAGAGCGAGAAAACGGAAAAAACACGCACATATTAAAAGTCTTGGGAGATTTTGCGAGGCCCATTCAGCATACGTCGGGTTGGACGTGGTAAGTCAGGTTGCCGCCCGTTGTTGGACAGAAGTTGCGAGGGACATTCCAAAGAACCATCAAGTCAACGAAGGCCGTCAATTGGAGGCTCTTGAGAACCGGAAGCAGCTGAGCCAACCAGAGAGAATAGTTGGAAGAGTCAAGGCTGGTATTATTAGCGTGAGAAACGGAGGGAAAGGATCGGGAAAAAAAAAATAGTTTTGACGTTAGTCAAGGCTCAAGGGCTATGAGATACCATAAAAGATTATGGATTGCACAGAAGAGCACATCAAGGAAGGTAAAGAAGGCAATTAAGTGGCTGAATCCCTCGATAGTCTTGAGGGTGAATCATCATTGAATTATATACGAGTACAATAGCTTGACTTACAACTTACAGGTATAATTGCTATACAAGAAATACATCAAGGGAATGATTTGATTATACAGAAAATTAGAGATTACGGAAATCATACGAAATCTCAGGAAATCAAAATACGTATCCATCAATATCATCTTTCAATGGAAAGGTGGAAAACGAGCAAACAAGAAAACAAAATTTAAGGTGATGGAATTAATCAAAACTAAAAATAGTGAAAGCATTAGCCATGAAACCTAAGTTTGGAAGTCACTGGAATCTTTTGCCGGAGGGAGGATGGAGAGTGATATTATTCATACAATGTTTTTGTCCCACATTTTCATACCATCTTAGGTGGCATTTGATGTGAACAGTCACATCATTTAAATTAATCAGATTTTTAAATTTAGTTCATTATTTCATAAACTAATAATTAAGAAAAAGTAGTTAATTAAATGATAATTGTGGTATACGAAAAGTATTTCTCCTTCTTTTTGTTGGGTTTTGCAAATTTTTCAAATAACGTGGTTGTCCCCATCAGATGCCACTTAATATGGTATAGAAATATAGTATAAAAATATGGTATGAATAGCATTACTCAAAAGCAAATTCATCCAATCCCATACCAGTGATACCACTAAGAGTCGAAGAACTCAATTCGTCATACTCATTCATTCTTGCGAGCGAAGCAACATGATTTGCTTCCTTTATTTTGCTTCACATCTCACCTACCCAACTTCCAACCAGTTTGCCACAACTTTGGTTGGAGTAAATTCCCACATTGTTAGGTAAGAGTACGTTTTCCACTATTTGCTTTATAATTGTGTTTTTCTTTTAACTATTATGTTGGGCCTGGCCGGTGATGCTAAAATGTGATTAAGACAGGTTTGAAAAATTTAAGCTCAATCAACTTATGTCATGTCCACGAGCAGGAGCATCTCCGGACTCGTGGCAGACCCTTGAGCTAGGTCTATTTAGGCCGAACTAGAAGTCTTATAGGCTATCAAACAAGTACGTTAAGCATTTTTCAAATGCTACAGTCATTATATTTTTTGTATTTAATACTATGATCTAGTAATATTCCTCTTTATTTGTAAGTGAGATGTCTTAGGTTCGATTCTCGTTAAAGGCGAATTTGAACTACATTATTGCTAGCCATTGTGAGGCTAATCCCACCCTCATTCCTTTTAATATAGACAATATCGTTTGTTCAAAAAAAAGAAGTGACATTGAGCTGTAAACGTGAATTTGTCCAGCTGGTTAATAACATCTATATTCCCGTAAATTAGAACATCGTCCCGTCAAAAAGTGATAGCGAGCTTGGGTTGGGCCTCAAGTTGGGCTAAATACAAAAAAAAAAAAAAAAAAAGTCTAGGCTCTATTCATTTCACAAATGGGTCGTTCCTTTGCTGATTGAGAGTGTGGATGCTCCAACGTTGAAACTATACCATGGCGTGTCTACTCGCGCCACTTCGTCCCACCTCACCCTCACCCTCAAATTCAATCCCTCGAATCAGATTTGGGGCCAAACCTCCGTCCAACGTGGCCTCCGCCCAGAGTCGACTCATCCGGAACTCGATGAGTCAACCCGCCGCCGAAGCCAATCCAGACGTCCCAAAGTCCGACACCACGGACGTCCTGGTTCAGTACGTTGTGCTCCGGCGAGACCTAATCGACAAGTGGCCGATGGGCAGCGTGGTCACACAGGGCTGCCATGCCTCCGTGTCCGCCATTTGGTCCCATAGAGACGACCCCGTCACGCTCCAATACTGTGGCCCGGAAAACATCGATTCTATGCATAAGGTAAATCCAGAAGCTTCAAATTGTGAAAAAGAAATTGGATTGTTGTAGCGTTTATCAGGTTGGATTTCTGGGTTTTGGTTACAAATGTGGAATAAGGGTGTGGTTCTTAGTATTTTTCATGTTCCTTTTACCGGAGCGGTATTTTAATCTAATCTAAATTATGCGGAAGGGAATTCGAACTTCGATGTTAGTGTTACCTCTTCTTTTAAAAAAAGAAAAAAAAGGCGTTCGTTCAATTGGGTAATTGAGATTTATGCTGGGAAATTTCTTGTTAATCGGTTACTTGGGTTTGATAATTACTTGGATTACTGCTGGTTTTTGTTTTGCATATAGCGTTCTTATTTGACCTTTGCTGCAGGTTACTCTTGAGGTGAAGGGAGAACCCCAGATATTGAATTTGTCAGAGAAGCTCGAAGCAGGTGGCATAGCGCACAAGCTGTGGATTGAGCAACCCGAAAACTTCCCAACCTGCCTCGCCACAAAGCCCTACCCAAAATCCGCGGTATCGGCGTATTTTAAAAAGTTGAAACTCTGTAAGTGAAGTTATTGTCATCCTCATTAGTCCACAGCCATGAATTGTGTACGAGTTTCAAGGATAACTTGTTCGTTTATGAATAGGTTCATAGGATTTTTCCAGTTTTGCTTTCAGTTTATGTTGAAGGTGTTAGAACACCTTTGGAGAAATAGCAATCTTAATTGGTTAAGAAGTAAAATCCGGAAGGCGGTTCGATTCAGTCGGAAAATTCCTTCATATTGTTTTTCAGTAAGAACGGGAGCAATCAGACAATATTTAGAAATTAGAAAGAAATCGAAAACGATTGCAAGTACATGTTAATAGAGTCTGTCATTTTGTTTTTCAGCCACAATTATAATTCAGAGTATATATTCTGCTATATATACAAAAGCAAAAACTGCAAGCTCGCTACATATCATGTGAGTTCATCACTGCACCACCAATTTTCTATTACACAAGCTGCAGTAGAGCTTGCGCTTGGTCCTCCAATACAGCGGCAGGAAGCAAAACCTCCAGTTGCTCTCGACGTCCATGGCTTGCACCATTCCTCCACAGTAAGGGCATGCCCCCGGTGCCGGTTGCCTCGACAGCACCCTTTCCTCTTCATCACACACGAACACCAAACACATGATCGAATACCCTTCTTCCTTCTTCCCTTGACCTCGAGCCTTTCTAGGGTTTCCGGCTTTGCGTGCTCCTCCGCCTGTCTGCCTTTCTTTCCTGTCTTGGGTTGCTGCTTCGAGATTTGCTCCAAGTGATCGGAAACTGAAACCGTTTACTGGCTTACAAGTTGCAAGGCAATTCCGATTTATACACAGAGAGAGGGAACTTCCAGAAAAACGTAGCTTAATCTGGAAGCTTGGAAGGCAGGTCCAACGGTTATGCAAAAACCGCGTATGTAGAAGATTCCAACCCCAAAGGTGACAAGTACGATTTGCATAAGATAACAACTTTATGTTAAATCTATCTTATCTAGATATTATTATATACGCGTTGATTGCGTCTTCTGCGTTCCTTATTTTCCTCAAATGCGTGTCAACATTTATGACTTCTCTTTTTTGACGCAAGTGACTTTCGAAAATACTAGAATCGATCGTGCATGTGCAGTTTCCATGCTGATGCTGGATCGATCGTAGCACTCACGCTTTTTGCTCTATTGATGACAACTTCCATGAAACTCAGTGCAAAAATCTACGGCGTTGTAATGTGAAATGAATGATAGTTTTTTAAAAAGGAATCATGTACCTCATCATTTTCATCTATCCCATTAATATTCTCGTGCACTAAGTCACGAGATATTGTTGTCACGCTCTGTTTTTTCAAAACATCTTGATGCTTGTCAATATAAATCAATTCAAGTGGATGCTTTACAATCTTATTTAAAGATCCTTGGCCTTAATTGGATTGCTTTGAATTTTCTATCCAATAATCGAAAGCATGAAAAAGATGTTGCAACTCTCAACCCCCCTCAAATAAGTAATTCAACTTTTAATAGTACGAAAACCAATCTAAATCGACTCAAAACACAGAAAACCAACTCAAATGATTGGTTGATTGTATTTCATCTTTCAAACCAGCGATATTGGAGAGAGGAGATTCGAGCACAAAATCTCAGTTTGCGTTAAGCGATCATAACAACCTAAACTAGAAGTCGTTTTTCTTAGTTGATTGTAGCTGAAATTTTTATCTTTGTCAAAAAGCGATTGTCATCCATTTTTTTTTCTTTCTTTTTTTACTATAAAATATGGCATCAATTCAGAAACTTTAATTTGAACCAATGCAAAATATCGCACAAAGATTTGGATAAGATATGAGTGATCTCATAGCCCACCAAGAGGGTTAATAAGTTAATTATAGGTGAGATTATAGTAATTTGGGTCAATTAAGTGTTCATACAAAGCTACAAAAGTGCTTCCATGTCTGCGGAAGAGCAAAGCAAATACTAGGCCTAGCTAGCTGTAGAACAATATTATAGTTATAACTTAGAAATTGCCTATATAATTGAACAAGTCAATAATTTAGGCGAAAAGAAGTTGACAACTAGAAGGAGAAAATCCCCTAAAAGCACTCGGAGCTGGCAGAAGCTGCCACTCAACTTTTAGCTCTGCTTCACACTCGGACAGCCTTCCAATTCCGACATTCAACCCACATGCCACCACGCATATGTTCCCTTCCACCCCGCTCGCAGCAAAGGGACGTCTCAGTGCCTCACATGGGAATCTGTCCCCACCCACGTACTGCCACGTGTCCTTATCAGGGTCGTACGCCTTAATCGGACAGTCCCCATACTCCGATATCACCAAGAGCCTGCCGCCCGCGACCACGCTCACGCCCGTCCACCCGTCCCTCATTCCCGGCCTCATCTCCTGCCACGTGTCGTTGTCTGGGTCGTAGACCACACCACGTGGCGAGTGCATAAACGGCCACGTCCACCCCTCGGTCACGTACATCTTGTTCCCCACCACGTTGGAGTCATACTTGGCCAATCCAGCTGGCAGGGTGGCACATGGCGCCCACGTGTCTTTCAGCGGGTCGTAACAGTCTACGGCCCTGATCGAACTGCCATAGCAAGCCTTGTCGCCTCCAACGGCCAAGATCTTTCCATCGATATTTCCCGCGTCGAAAAATGACCGCGGGGTCGACATTGGAGTAGCTGTTGACCATTGATTGGTAGATGTACGATACACGATGGTTGTCTTCGTAGAGGATTCCCTGTCTGCCCGCACGCCGCCCAATACAACGAGCGTCCCCTCACGTGGCAGGGAAGCGCATGCGAACCCCGGCGGGCAAGCGGCCTTGGGACACGGCATGGGAGGCAAAACAAACCAACGGCCAGATCGCGGATCCAACGCTTGCCACTGCATCCTAGCCGTTGATTTGTTGAAGGCGAAAACGAAAAGATAAGGCAAAGGCAAACACAAGGACTTCTTGCAAAGAACAAAGCTAGGGTCTGTAATGGCTCTTTTCCATGAAGCAGAGACCGAACGCACCAGAGCCTGGTACGGATATGGAAGATAAAGCAGGCAGAGCTCAGCAACCTCATCCGGCAATCCGGGAATCAACGGCTCAGATTTCCTCATTCTGATTTCTTGTTTAGAACACTGATCAGAACCTGGGTTTGATGCAGACGACGTTCTCAGAGCCGCCATTGCCGAAATTCGAATACAAGCACGTAAAACAAAACTACCCAGATGAAGAAATGATCGAAAACTTGGAGTTTCTTGAAGAGTTCATGAATCGAAAAGTGAGTTTGCAAGGTGTTCGACACAGGGTCTAGCTGAAGGATTGTGGTAGTTGCAGAGCATATTGTATGTAAGAGTATTTATAGTGGGGAAAAAGAGATCATGGAGATCAAATTAAGAAATGTGATGACGAAGCAAAGATTCGCATTTGTGGAAGAATTATTGGTTGGTCAAAAGGGTGGCCTAATTAAATCGGATTAATTTTGGTTAAAAGTGTTTAGGGGCTGTGATTGGGTTTCGTTTGTTGTTTTGTGGGTGTGCATCTAGAAACCGGAATACAAGGTAAAAAGTGACGCCACAAAACTTGAGAACACAGAGAGCGGCAGATCCGAAAGAGACTTGTGTGGGATTAAAGAAATGAGCAATGAAACGAAAGTTTGAGTAAAATCGGGCGCAAACAGAGTGACCAAAAAGATTTTTAATCCGAACAAGAATTGCGGGTTTGAATATAAACACAGTGATCAAAACAGATCTTAGAGCCTAGAGGAATGGAGGGGTGGTTGGTTTCTTGAAAATAATTGAATTTTGGGGGGGTTTTAAAGAATAAAGAAATGAGGAAGAGGATGTATAGAGACTTGTTTGGTGCAGGGGAGGGTATGAGTTGAGTTGGGTTAGATGGATCCAATTGAGTTACATGGTGGTGCATGACGATTGATTGGAATATAAAAAGGTCAATTTGTGGGGTATGTATATAGGTGTGAATATGAACTTATGGAGAGACTAATGATCCCATTACTTTAATGACTAATTTGACTATGATAATTGTAGTGGGGCCTCCTCTTTGTGGTTTTCATTAGGTACCTTATTGTCGTGATATTTTGGTTTAGCGTATAAGCATTTCATGAGAAATGTTTTTTTTTTTTTTTTTTTTTTTTATAATATTTGAAATATGTTATGTTACTGATCACGTATATATGGCGTTGGTTTACAATTTTATCACACGTATGTGATTATAAGACTTTTTGGCCTTTCGAGATGTAAAAAGTACTTATGTCTTTACAAAACATGTGAAAGTACTTCTCGAAAGGTCTTCATAAAGCACAAACTCAGAAGTTATTTTTTTGTGCCAACTCGGTATAAAATGTTTTTGGTTATTTAAAAAAGTTTTAGATTGTTTTGAAAGCATTGTCAAAACATGAATGCGAATTCTCTTTGTGAGGATCCAGGGGATCCTTTAATCGTATATGTTCATTGTAAATCATGTGGTTAGTTTTCGTCAAGTATTATTTGTATTCAATTTTAAATAAAAATTTTAAACTAATTTCGAACTACATGATGTACAATGAATGAATACAATTAGAAGATCTCCAGTATTCTCACAAAGAGGATTCTCATTCGTCAAACATTTCGGTGCTTTTATTGTCAAGGCATTTGGATTCATCCATATGGAAATGGATTCTCTCATGAGCATTTGCTCGGGATCCTACTGACCCACACACAAGGGCCGTTGGATGAAAATCCAACAGCTACAAACAGGGGATCTATTTAAAGTTATAATAATTATAGTCATTAGATTTTTCATCCAACGATCCTTATGTTTTGGTCAATAGGATCCTGAGTAGATGCTCAGGAGAGAATCAATTTCCCATCCATGTACATGTTTCAACCACTCATGGAGTTTGTGGCCTAAAACTGCCGGAGGGTCCTCCTTTCGGACATATCCCAAATTTCATTAGCACTGTGCCCTCAACCTCATGCTCACACTAGTAAGTGTCCTCAATTTCATTATCGTTACTTAGTACTCTTGACTTTTGTGAAATACTTGTAATATTGGGTTTTCAAGTATAATCCTGATTAGTTGTAATTGGTGTAATTGCAGTATTATGTATTTATCTTCTAGTACTACAGATTAATAATATTTCTCATTATTTGTAAGTGAAAGGTTTTAATATACAAAATGACGAGTTCACAATTAATATATTACCAAATTTCCTTAGTGTAAAATACTCTCTAAGGGAACCTTTAAAATTTTATTAAACTAGCAAGTGATTTGTGCCAAAATCTCAAACAACACTTTATTTTAATAAATTTTAATTACTTTATTATTCATAATTTAAACCCGACCCACTTATTTTCAAGGACGATTTTATGCACATCCATAGTATATTAAAAACAAAACAGTATTCAATCTACGTAAATCTAAAGCTTTTCTGATTGCGAGTTTTCATAGAAAGATGCAAACACAGAATTGAAAATTGTACATTAATCTACATATAAAGTCAAGAATTTGTCGTCCACCATAAATAAAATAAAACGACTTAAACCAAAAAATAAAGTACAATGTCATTTTCTTGTTTTTGAAGAATATTTGGCTTATCTTTTCCAGGTTTTCATGAGCTGTTTCTGCTGATTATTTGGGCCAATTTGAGCACCTTAAAAACAACATTTAGTCATTCGAAATGGCAACAGGAATAGTATATGAGAGACTTATTATACTCTCATTACGCTACCGCAACATCCCAAATCAACAAAACAACATTGTTTAGATAAATTAAAACAGATGACATCGCATTATTAGTCTAAAACATCATGATAAGTTGTTATTGATTGAAAGACCATCCAACACCGCCCAGTTCATGTTGCTCTTTATAGTGTGGAAGGTGGAAAAGTTACTTTTACCTTGAATGGGAGGGACAGGAAACTGAAAAAAGTAGATTATGATGTGTGGTTTTTTCCAGGCATGTACTATAAACAAAGATTTGGATGATGCCTATTAATGGAAACAAGATTTTTTTTTATTTTTTATTATATATATATATATTTTTTTTTTTGAATCACAAATGGTTTTTTATTGGTTTCGTGGATCCTATATGGGTTCCACCCCAACACTCTAATGGATTTTTTAACGAAGTTAGACGTTAAGGATAATATTGGTAACCAAAGTAAGAGATAAGGGACTAAATTGATCAGTTTGAAACATAAAGGATTAAACGGATGAGTTCATAAAGCATAAGGAAACATTAGAAATGGAAAAAATGTGAGAAAAGGGCTAAAGGCGTAGTTGAGAATATCACTTCAGCAATGAAAATCCAACCATGGATGGGAAATGGATTCTCTCATGAGCATCTGCTTAGGATCCTATTGACCCACACATAAGGACCGTTGGAAGAAAATTCAACGACTACAAATAGGAAGATCCCTTTAAATTTATAATAATTGTAGTCGCTAGATTTTCATCCAACGACCCTTGTGTGTGGGTCAGTAGGATCTTGAGCAGATGCTCATGAGGGAATCCATTTCCCATCCAAATACATGTTTTAATCACATATGGAGTTTGTGGCCTAAAACTGCCGAAGGGTCCTCCCTTCGGACAGATCCCAAATTCCATTAGCACTATGCCCTAAACCTCATGCTCACACTAATACGTGTCCTCAATTTCATTACTGTTGACTTTTGTGAAATACTTGTCATATTGGGTTTTCAAGTATAATCCCCGATTAGTTGTAATTGGTGTAATTGCAGCATTATGCATTTCTCTTCTAGTACCACAGATTAATAATATTTCTTATTATTTGTAAGTAAAATGTTTTAATATACAAAATGATGAGTTTGCAATTAATATATTACCGAATTCTCTTAATATTTGAAATATGTTATGTTACTGATCACGTATATATGGCGTTGGTTTTCAATTTTATCACACGTATGTGATTATAAGACTTTTTGGCCTTTCGAGATGTAAAAAGTACTTATGTCTTTACAAAACATGTGAAAGTACTTCTCGAAAGGTCTCCATAAAGCACAAACTCAGAAGTTATTTTTTTGTGCTAACTCGGTATAAAATGTTTTTGGTTATTTAAAAAAGTTTTAGATTGTTTTAAAAGCATTGTCAAAACATGAATGCGGATTCTCTTTGTGAGGATCTAGGGGATCCTTTAATCGTATATGTTCATTGTAAATCGTGTGGTTAGTTTTCGTCAAGTATTATTTGTATTCAATTTTAAATAAAAATTTTAAACTAATTTCGAACTACATGATGTACAATGAATGAATACAATTAGAAGATCTCCAGTATTCTCACAAAGAGGATCCTCATTCGTCAAACATTTCGGTGCTTTTATTGTCAAGGCATTTGGATTCATCCATATGGAAATGGATTCTCTCATGAGCATTTGCTCGGGATCCTACTGACCCACACACAAGGGCAGTTGGATAAAAATCCAACAGCTACAAACAGGAGAATCTCTTTAAAGTTATAATAATTATAATCATTAGATTTTTCATCCAACGATCCTTATGTTTTGGTCAATAGGATCCTGAGTAGATGCTCAGGAGAGAATCAATTTCCCATCCATGTACATGTTTCAACCACTCATGGAGTTTGTGGCCTAAAACTGCCGGAGGGTCCTCCTTTCGGACAAATCCCAAATTTCATTAGCACTGTGCCCTCAACCTCATGCTCACACTAGTAAGTGTCCTCAATTTCATTATCGTTACTTAGTACTATTGACTTTTGTGAAATACTTGTAATATTGGATTTTCAAGTATAATCCTGATTAGTTGTAATTGGTGTAATTGCAGTATTATATATTTATCTTCTAGTACTACAAATTAATAATATTTCTCATTATTTGTAAATGAAAGGTTTTAATATACAAAATGACGAGTTCACAATTAATATATTACCGAATTTCCTTAGTGTAAAATACTCTCTAAGGGAACCTTTAAAATTTTATTAAACCAGCAAGTGATTTGTGCCAAAATCTCAAACAACACTTTATTTTAATAAATTTTAATTACTTTATTATTCATAATTTAAACCCGACCCACTTATTTTCAAGGACGATTTTATGCACATCCATAGTATATAAAAAACAAAACAGTATTCAATCTACGTAAATCTAAAGCTTTTCTGATTGCGAGTTTTCATAGAAAGATGCAAACACAGAATTGAAAATTGTACATATTACTACATATAAAGTCAAGAATTTGTCGTCCACCATAAATAAAATAAAACGACTTAAACCAAAAAAGAAAGTATAATGTCATTTTCTTGTTTTTGAAGAATATTTGGCTTATCTTTTCCAGGTTTTCGTGAGCTGTTTCTGCTGATTATTTGGGCAATTTTAGCACCTTAAAAACAACATTTAGTCATTCGAAATGGCAACAACGAATAGTATATGAGAGACTTATTATACTCCCATTACGCTATCGCAACATCCCAAATCAACAAAACAACGTTGTTTAGATAAATTAAAACAGATAACATCGCATTATTAGTCTAAAACATCATGATAATTTGTTATTGATTGAAAGACCATCCAACACCGCCCAGTTCATGTTGCTCTTTATAGTCTGGAAGGTGGAAAAGTTGCTTTTACCTTGAATGGGAGGGACAGGAAACTGAAAAAAGTAGATTATGATGTGTGGTTTTTTCCAGGCATGTACTATAAACAAAGATTTGGATGATGCCTATTAATGGAAACAAGATTTTTTTTTATTTTTTATTATATATATATATATTTTTTTTTTTGAATCACAAATGGTTTTTTATTGGTTTCGTGGATCCTATATGGGTTCCACCCCAACACTCTAATGGATTTTTTAACGAAGTTAGACGTTAAGGATAATATTGGTAACCAAAGTAAGAGATAAGGGACTAAA